CCAGCATGACTATCATTTTTTCCGTTTTCAAAATCCTTCAAAAATTCATCATTTCATTTAACGGTTGTTTATAGCTGCACCAAGTAATTTTTAGGCACTACTCTAAGTTGACAGGTGACCTTCATTGACGCCCAAGTATTTCAGCCAGGCCAGCAGCCTTGTAAACAGAGCCACGATTGTGTGATGTTGTATAACTGTCTTTTGTTCACGAACCTGGCTTAGTGCACAGCTGACCTCTTTTTAATAGGGGCCAGATTAGTGTGCAGCGGTGCTGTGTGGCTCATCACTGGGGTGGTGGAGCGCTTTTGTCCCCGGTGGTAATCCGCTCACTCTCACTGCCCCAAAACCCGGTATATGGTTTCAAAACAAGGCTGGATTATCATCACTTTTGAGAGTGAAATATGTCGGTAATACCCAGCAGCCTGGTCTTTTGTTTGGAGTACGGTCCTTTGTTACAGGGCCCTGTTTCCTTTGTCCGAGTTTGGAGACCACGGCCACCCATATAAAACATACATCTCCGATCCCCGAGTCCCCGGCAGGAAGTGGTTAAAATTAAAATTTCATTGCAAAACACCACTTTTGGTAAAGTAATTGGTTTCAAATATTATATTTTATATGTTCATTTGCAAATGAAATTCAATACAAACAATTATTTTCTCCAGATCACTATAATATTGTCATCTCTTCATAGCATTTGTTTTCTACTGTCCAGAGATATTATGCAACATGGTAACAACAAATGTGCAGTGCAGTAATATTTTATTATTTTCTCCAGATTATAGGTCATTGTAAAGCAGAAATCATTTTGATTGCACCTTCAGAAAAAAAAATCAAAATATCAAAAACAAAACTAAAAAAACAAAGTAAACAGTTGCACTGAGCATCCTATTTTGTGCTAATAAAATTCGCATGTCAATGTAGCCACCCTGTTTGCTGATGACTTTCAACAGTCTGCTGTCCACTGATTTTGTCAAATTGTTTATTGTAACCTTCGAAACATGTGCTGCTGCTTCCTTAATCGCATCCCACAATGCATCCTTGGAGTTGTATTGCTTTCCATTAG